CCTTGTCTCCAAACTGTTTGTCTCTGAACAGTCTTCTCTGAAGATCCTTCTCCCATCCAAGTACTAACCAGGACCAACCCTGCTTAGCTTCTGAGATCAGATGAGATTGGGTGAGTTCAGGGTGGTATGGCCATAGACTGAAGATCTTTCTTGATTGGTTATTTTCTTCCCTTAAGATAAGGATTTGCTCTTTCTTAGATTTTTGTTTATTTGTTTGGCTTTGGCCCCAGATGGCGAGGAGGGGGAAGTAATGAGCAGATCAGGTGGGAGTCAGTGCCAGCTAAACCCTTTTGGGGCTTAGCAGAAAAGAGGCTTAGAAGGAGCAGTGAGCTTCTAGGTGAGGACAATAAAAACCAAAATCCAACAAAAGCAGACATCCAAAAAGCTAACCTGGTTGACACATAAGTACTCATGAGAGTCATTTCCCATGGATTTGATTGTAAATGCCCCAGAAAGATCAGAACTGAAATGACAAAAACTTAAAAGAACCATCGTTAAAATATTGATGCACAATTTAGCAATTAACAGAACAGTATATCAGTACCATTAACTTTTTGTTACCACGTTTATCTAAATTTTGTATTTTAGAAGATACTTGAAAAACATAAATATTTTTAATGCACAGGAATCAGCAACAGCATCACAGCTCTATGAAGGTTATATATACATACTAGTTTAGTTGTTGTTCTTGAAGTAAAATCTTAGATTTCTCATCAGTTATGGGAGGGGGAGAATAGTGTCAGTGACCCCAAATAGCCCAGTCACAGACACATTTGGGTACTGACTGCATTAGAACCAGCCAAGACAACAGTTGTTTAACCATAATTATGAGGTCATTTAGAAAATTTTGCATAAACCAGCTCTTAAATGAACTTTTATTTAGTTATGACTCAGTTACCTCAGTAATCAAAACCCTGACAAAAATCACCAGAGAACACAGGCAAATATTTATGGAGACTAAGTGTGGAGTTAGAAAACCTAATGGCCAAGAATCATGGCTCAGATGTTGACAAGGGATATCTTAGACTGTTGACATTAACACATGGGTCATGACATACAGCAGGATCCCACTAACCTGTAGTCAATGGAGCCCCTATAAAATAACAGGACTAAACTGGTCATTCCAGGCCAAAAATTCCCTCTGCCTGATTGGTGGAAACAGTAGGACTAACATCTCCACTTAGTTGACTCCAATAAAAAAACTGGAGGTCTTGACCTCCAGTGTTTTGCTCCTTTTTGAATTTTTTTATCCTATTTGGAGGGTGCACTTTGGTTGTTTTTCTTTTTTACTTTGCGTTACATAAGTAAATCTGTCTCAACCCTCATATCAGTACAGCAACACTACCTGTGCTCAGCTGCTTCTTGCCTCTCTATGTTTTAATAAACTCTTATTGTCTTGATAAATTTTTAGATTAACCAAAAAACTTCTGACCTTTTTATAAGACAGTTTTTTCGTAGATGTTATCAAGAAGAATACAATATTTTTAAGATAGCCTTATTGGTATGAGTTTAGAGAATTAAGGTTTATCTTAACATCAGTACATTAAATTTTTGACCTTACAAAACCTTTAATGTAACTGAATTTTAGTCAACTCAATCACTTTCATAAGCATTTATAAGCTCTATCGTTTTATGACAACCTTACTCTGTACCTTTATGACAACTTATTCTGTATCCCATGGGGGAGCTTGTCATTATCCTTTTTATTTTTCCTATTTTGAGACAATTTTGAGGACAAATCTTTTTCACATAATCTTTTTATTCAAAAGCATTTTTTTAACTTTTTATTTTTAAAAGCCATAGCCTTAATACCTTTTATATATTTTTGTTATTTGTTGAAAAAACTCATAAAACCTTTTAACTTAGAGCCTTATATTTGCATAAAAAACAGAAAGAAGGCAACCTTAAAATTATTTTTTGTATAAAAACAACTTATAGAAAGCCCATTTGTAATAGACCCATGTATTATAAGAGAGAATTAAATCCAAGATTTTATTTAGAACAGAATGAAACAGGCTAAGGTCATTTTTTAACTACCCAAATTTCAAGATTCCTGCTGCAGGCTGTGGCCCCTCTTTTTTTTTTTTCTCCTCTGGTCTGAGCCAGAGTGTTAACCCCTGAATACCTGTATCCTAATGAGACCTGATTGAAATAAGTTTGAAAACTGGTTTTCTTAAAAGTAGCAATAGAACAGAGTAACTTTTTTTTTACATTGACTCTATAATAAGAACCATCCTCAAGATGTTTACATGTTCATACGTAAAAAAGCATAAGCAGTTTATAACAGAGATCTTTAAAAAAAACACCTTGGTTTTTTTCTTACCTTGAATATAACACTAACCTTATAACCACAGTTTAAGAACCATTTTGAAGATGCTCTCTCTCACATACACACCCCCCCCAAAAGTTTTATAAATTAAGCATGCCAGAAAAAATGTCAATTTAAGCATGCATAAGATGAGTTGGAATTCCAGGAGCAAATTAAATTTTTCCCAGTGACGTAAACAAATTGACACACATAGACACAAAATTAGAGTACACTCTCAGAAATACCTTTTAAAACCATATCCAGAGGGTAATACAGTGGAATGGTGGATGATGCATCTATTCTCTTGTAAGTCTCCCTCTTTGGAAGTGATTTTTGTTACCCATCCTTTAACCTTGGTTGTGGCTATTTCCCCAGGAAAAGTTCAACCACCCCAGTACTGGAGGTTTCTTGCATTTTACTCAAAGTGCTTTCTTTCTACTTGGTCTATCTGGCTGGTGAGAAAACCTGGTAGATGCTCAACCTTCCTAATTCCTGGAGGTGTCTCACATGCTACCCCGCACTTTGAATCTGGTAGGTGTTCAACCTCCCTATTTCCTGGAAGTGTCTCACATGCCACCCCACGTGTTTTGAATCCAGTCAGCAAGGAATACTTTGTCACAAAGTGGCATTTCTTACCTTGGCCTATGCATAGGATTGCTTGACTGCCACAGCATTTTCTATAACAGCCCCTTCCTCCCGTTACTGAGGGACTCTCAACCTTGGGTTCTTTGTTGGCCTAGTGATGGCAGATCTCCCCATTCTGAGGCCCCAGCAACTAGGCAGCAGGACGCATTTCCTCTGAGAAAGGGATCCACGATCCCTTTGTGGTCGCCAAATTGTTAGAAATGCCAGTCCCAAACACTGATCAAAGAAACATGCAGGAGTTGCTCAGCAAGGCAAAAAGAAAAGTTTTACTTCTGCAGAAGGGTGCAGCCACAGGCCATAATCAGATAGGCCAAAAACACACTGAGCGTGGAGTCAGCTCAGTTTTTATCTCTTTGTCCCTCACCCTGATGGACGGGTTTGTGGAGGTTAGCTGGCATCTACACAGTGACACCTTTGACAGAAAAGATCTGACTTTATTTATATTTTAGCCTGAACAATCTGATTTGGTTAAAGCTATCTACATGGGAATGAGATAATCTATTCTAGGATTAAATCGAGTATTTCAGGTTCAGCAACAAGGCTTGTAAAACTGGTTTGTTTCCACAGCTACATCAGAATGAATGCATGTAGAGTTACGATATAGAACTTGAGAATTAGAGTGAGAACCAGGTGAAAGAGAGACATCATTTTATGTCAAAAATGTAGAATTTAGGGAATGCATGGAAACTGCATCTAGCCTTAAATACTATATATCGCCTTTAAATTCAGGAAATAGAATCCTTGAGATACGGAGCATGAGGTTCTTTTCAGGGCATCAGCTGCTAGACTTATGGCCATGAAGTGTAGGGGAGGACCTGCCAGACAGCTGCAGTCGTGCACTGGCAGCTACAGCTGACATTGAGACCATTCTTTTAATCAATGCATGCTTAAGCATTTGGGGACAAGATGTTAAGATGTCTTTAAAGTACTTTGGCAAAAGATATCCTAAGCCTTAGATAACACTAATATGGAAAAATATGAATGCTAGATCAAGATGATGCGTTTATGGAGGCTCTTTACAGTTTTTAATTTTTACTCACGTTTACGTTTTAGGGTAAAAAGAGTTGCAGAAGGTTGTTTATTGAGTATGCAAAATTAACTTATGCTCCCGATGCTTACTCATTCACCGAAGTTTATTTAGAAAATGAAGTAATTACATTAGCTGACTGTTTCATCCTTCCCAGTTCTAAGGTGCTGAGCAACAGGAACCAGAACTCAAATTCTTATCCACGCGAAGCATGCTAATTCAAATTAGTGAATTGGAGAAACGCTTGCTGGTCTAACGGGGGCGCCTTTCCGATTGAATATTGCTTTTTTGATAACATGGGCTCTGTCTGTCTTTTGGTCTTTTTCGAGAGAATGAAATAGAGACTTTTACGTGAAAATTCGCATTCTTACAATGTTACCAGAGAACACGCCAAGAAAGCCGCAGGTGCCGGGGCGGCGCTGGGACCCACGTCGGCGGTCCTGGGTCTCTGCGCGTGCACCTGGGCGTCAGCTCGGCCGCCTGTACCGACAGGTGACACCGCGAGGAAGGGCCGGGGCCCCACACACGCCAAGCGCACGGCATCCGGGTGGTTCCGGGGAGCGAATTCTGACTCGAAATACCAGCTGACCTCGGTCTCTGTTCACCAGTGGAGAAGGTAGAAAGAAATCCCTGCTTGCTAACTTTGCTAGCTCGCCTGTCCTCCACGCAGGCAGATACAACCAGCCTCCTTGTGGTCCTCCGGCAGCCTCAGGGCCCACAGAATTTGCCCAGTCCAGAATCACTGCTCAGCGGACACGGCAGTCTTTGGATGGAAAGTTGTGACGCCGCAGGCGATGGCAAAGAGAAGTTCTCTCAGAATTAACACCTGGGACCCAGCTGGGAATTCTAAACCGGAAGTCCTGCCTCCCGAACAGAGCGCTTCCGGTTTGGTAACTAAGGGCGCCGGACTGTTGCTAGAGCTCCGGTGGCAACTCGGCGGTTGCCTCAGCTGGGTCAGGGTACCGCTCACCCGCGCCGGGGTGTAGCTCACTCCTCTCTGGGGTTCCCTGTCCGCTTGCCATGAATAGCGAATTTCTGGCGGAGCTGCCTTGGGAGGATGGGTTCGCCATCCCAGTGGCGAACCAGGAGAACAAGATACTGGAAGACCAGGTGAGGTCAGGTGAAGACCCACGGGAAGAAGGAAGGGTCTGTTGCCGGCCTTCTCCGGCTGGCTGCACCACCCACCCTTTTACTCCTCTCCTTTCCTTCTCTCATCTCATCCTTTGTGTCCAGCGCTTTTCCATGCCTCCACTTCCTCCCTCACTTTGCCTGCCCTTTTCGGTAATTGTTAAGCATTTAGATTTTTTTAAAATTGAAACAATAGTTGACATTTAAGATAATAACTATCGAGTTACTCCTTTCCTTCCGCCTGCTGCTCGTACTCATTTCTAGGCTCCTGAGCAGTAGGCAAAAGGCTGATTTCCCCACCTGTTTTTTTTTCTTCCTTGAATTTAAGCTGTGCTTGGAAAGGGATTTCTGAGGCTCACCTAGCAACAAAAATGTGCACATGTTTATAAACAAAGCACATTCTGGTTCAGGTTGATAATTCTTTGTGAGTTTCTGCCTATGGTGTTGAATGTTCAAAGTGACCTGAGATGTTTTCAAGAGGGACATTCTGGTAACAATGTAAAATGTGCAATTTACAGCTTTCACAGAGAAGATCAAGTTGTCACAATGACATACCTGTTTTACTATGCAAGGAAGAACTTATACCAGCTACAATTTATAACACTTTTTTTCTTTTGAAAGTGCAATTGGCTCAGAAAACTCAAAAACCTTTAGTAGTAGGTCTAAACTTCTATGCTATGGTGATAGGATGTGTGGGAGAGGGTCCAGGAACAACAGATGATGCGCACACAACTTTACAAAATACTAGAAAGTTTTCTGTCCTCTGAAGAAATGAATATGAAAATCCTTTGACAGTCTTTGGAAAAGAATGGAAACATTTTTCAGAATATTCTGACCTAGTTACTCAGGGCTAACTTAGAAAGATGCCTTTTTTCTTTTCTCAAATGACAACATTAGGAAATGAAGGTGATCCCTCACAGAGTATTGAGGGGTAGTAAGCATCAGCCCTGGGTTCAGATCCTATTTGCCAACCCTGATCCTATTTCTTCTTCAAAATAGAAGTAAGTAAAGAATAACCATAATTATCTTGCAGAGTTTTCATAAGGCTCTAAGGACATCATGTAGGTTAAATGTTAGCTTTTAATGTTATTGCCATAAATATATTTGTCCCTGAGAATTTTATGCACATGTTGTTCATGTTGCTACTTTATAGAACAGTGAAAGAAGAAAAATGAGGCCAATAATTGCTTCACTGTGACATTAAAAAAGCAGCTCTTGCAAAAGTGAGGCCCAAAGTACCCACTGTTACTGTAGAAGTGACTTGCATGATAATAAACAAACTATCCAGATATCTTGATATAGAGATATGCAGAAAGAAGAAACAAATAGAAGGAGTATTATAAAAATGGAATTCTATTGTACATGTCATTTTTAACACAAAATATTAACTTTAGCAGGTAGAAGAAGAAAAGGAATTGTTGAATTTAGGTATTACTTGGTCAATTAGTTTTTTTTTCCCTTAGGTAAAAGTTCTAATGTTTTCCATATTTCAGCGAATTGTTGTGTATCCCTGGAAGGTGCACCTAACTTTGGTGTCTGTAGCTCAAGACTATAAGAAAACATATTTTCCTTTGTTGAGTTTTTAGTACCACTTTGAGGTGTGGTACATTATAATAGTCCTGAAAATCTGTTTTGTATTTTCCTAAATGTTTATTTTGTTTTATGTCTAATATTTACACTGTTTTGTTTCTATTAGAGGATCTAATTCACAGGCAAGCAAAATATGTTAAGAAACATGAGCACATGACCACTATTTGGTTAAGCTTCACCTCCATCTATGAGTTAGGAAAAGGAGTTCATGCTTTATATATAGTCATTGTTCACATTTGTGCTCCTGCCTGTTTTTGCTATGTCTTTCTAGCATGCTGTTGTTTACTTAAGACATCTTGTAGAATAGAATTTTATTTTTGCCTTATAAGAATGTAGTATGGCTGTATGAGAAATGCATTTTAGCTGTGGATCCTGGTATTGCTGTACATGTAAAGAGAGATTTATGTTCTTTGTAAAGTGCTAATTTTCCCACAGCAATCTCCAACTGGTAGCACTATTGCATATTTAAAAGATCAGTAGATATTAGAAGTTCCTATGGAACGGTAAGAAGCAAAATGCTATCTGTTAAATGTTTGTATCCTTCCAAAACCCATTCAGTGAAGTCCTGTTCCCCAGTGAGGTATGTGGAGATAGGGCCTTTGGGAAGAAATTAAGTCATGGAAGTGGAGCCCCTTTATAAATAACATAGTGCCCTAACTAGAAGAGAAAAGAGAGAGACGATCTTTCTCTCTACTGTGTGAGGACACAGCAAGAAGGCACCTGCCAGTGAAGTAGGAAGAGGGCCCTCACCAGGAACCAAAGCAACCAGCACCTTGATATTGGACATCCCAGTCTTCAAAATTGTGAGAAAAAAGTTTCTGTTGGTTAGGTCATCCAGCCTATGGTATTTTTGTTATAGCTTCTCAAACCTTTATACAAGGTAAGTGAAGATTTTTCTTTTGATTTTAGGTTCTTCAATATAGTAAAATTTAATAGGACTTTGATAAATCATAGTATTTATTATTTACAGTTATCAAAGCTTCAGGATGAAAGATCAAACTTGCAAGATCAGCTTCGTGATTGTGAAGAGCGAATTAATGCTATGACTTCTCACTTCAAAAATGTTAAGCAAGAATTCTCATTTACACAGGTACAAAAATATTGAAATTTAATTATATCACACATAATCATGGAATGCTTTATGGTACATTTGTATCTGTGATTTTATTTTAGAGATGTAGAAGGACACTTTATATAATTAAACTGTTATGAAAACCTTAGTTTCAAAAGCTTGAACCTGAAAGTAGATAGAAAAAAGTCTTTGGGAACTAACTACTACTACCAATTTAATACAAAAATCATTTCATGTAGAAGAAGAACTCATCATTTAAAATCTCATAATAATATTAAACGGCAAATTAATATATGAAGGACACAATGAAGGCAAGGAGAAATGATGGCCATAGCAGAAACACAGCTAATATAATACACAGTAGAGTTTCTTTCTCCTTTTTAATTTAGGGCACCCACTGGGGCCACTTTACATGGAGGCTATAGTCCACACACTTCAGTAGCCCCTATAGCTTCATGGTATTTAGTGTAGCTCAAGAATTGATTTTTTTTTTCTTGGAGACAGGATCTCATAATGTAACCCAGATTGGCCTTAAACAATCAATTCTCCTGCCTCAGACTCCTAAGTGCAGGGGTTATAGGTTATAGGTGTGATACCATATCTTGTTCGAGAATTGAAATTTTAGTGATACTACTAAGATTAATAAGTTCAGATGTATTTAGAAGATTTTAAGATAATCAGAGAATGCAAAATGCATTTTGGAAATACACAAATATGATTTAATTAAAAGCTGGGCAAGCTTCTGTTTTATGAATAATCAGTTTCAAGTATAGAAATTCACTTTTTGATGGGCAAATCAGCACTAGAGAGCTTATCAACTTCCATCTCAAACTATTTTTTTTCAAATTCATTGACTTTTCTGAGAAAAAACTAATTCTTAAAAAAGAGCAAAGCCATGTTTTTAAAAACAACTTATACTCAACATAGGTAAGTAATTAATTCATAGCTTGCAAATCTTATTAGAAAACTAACGAGCTTTTCAGAAAACCAAAAATTGTATGTTCTTCTGCATATGTGGACTTTATATCTAAAACAAATGTAGTAATATTAGACTTGGGTTACACACTAAGGGGAGAACACATCCAGGAAGAATAGGGAAAGGTAGGAAACCCAAAACTTGAAAGTATTTGATGCAGAGGAGCAGTAACCTTGAAACAACAGAGGTCAATATGGGAATGTGACCCAGAAGTAGTGAGGAGGTCTGGTAGAGATGAATCAGTTCGGGTTGTAATACACTTGTTCATGGAAGCAATGCTAGGAATCTCTCTGTATAGCTATCCTTATCTCAACCAGCAAAAATGCTATGTCTTTCTTATTATTGCTTATGTTTACTCTTCAACAAAATTGGAGAAAAGGGCAGGACAGGTTTTGCCTGGAAGCGAGGGGGGTGGGGTGAAAAGGGAGGGGATGGGGGCAGGGGGACTAATGGCCCAACCAATGTATGCACATATGAATAAATGAATAAGGAAAAAAAAAGAAAACTAATGAGCTTTTAAAAACAATGTTCAGGCTGGGCATAGTGGCTCACACCAGTTATCCCAGCTACTCAGAAAGCAGAAATCTAGAATATCACAATCTGAGGCAGCCTGGATAAAACAGTAAGACCTCCATCTCAGTAAGTCAAGGGAGGCTGTAGGTAGGAGGGTTGTGGCCAGAGGCTGCTGGGGCAAATACTTGAGACCCTACCTGAAAAATAACTAAAGGGGAAAAAATAAAAGGCCTGGAGGTGTGTCACAAGTCATAGCACACTTGCCTAGCAAGCACAGTGTCCTGAGTTCAAACCCCAGTACTTCCAATAAAACACAACACAACAAAAGCATTATTCAGGATTCTTGAATTCTGATGTGATTGTATGATCGAGTAAACACTAAACTATTTGTAGCAATATTTTCCTTCTGGTTATTGAATGAGTCAGGGATTGGATAGACAGAGATTCTCTGTTGGTATATCTTATTTTCTTCAAACCTGGATTAAATACATAAGCCTGGATTAAATAGAGACAAAAGATAATAAACTCCTTATAACTAGCCTTTTTAATAATGTAAAATTAATACTGAGAATATTGACTTTGAAGCACTACATGATCAATAGTCAAGAAATACCCTTTTTGCTAAATAGAACTTAATACAAAAGCAAGATTGTATACTAATGTATTGAAGGAAATATTTACAGCCACCAGTGCTTAAATAATTATTTAAAATTATCTCTGTTAATTTGAATATGTGGTAAATTCAATATAAACAGTTCCTGTTTTAATTATTTTTTAACTGATAATTCTTATTTATGGATAAAGATGAGTTATATAGCCTTTAAGTTTCACCATATAAACTTTGGCTTTATTTAATTTTCCTAAGCCAACATAATGACTCCAAACTGCTGACAATATTTTCTCCTAGCGTTTCATTGACTTTCTTACAACTGGTGAGCAACACCAACTACACTATAATCACAGTCTAACGTGGTATAGGTTTTGTGGTAGTGGAGTTAATAGTACTTAATCTAAACATTTTGTGGAAACTTTTCTTGTGTAATGGCTTATTATAAATATTTTATAACATTAAAATTTAAAAAGCATTTCTTTTTTGTGTGTTATTCTGAAGTGTCTTTATAAAGCAAGGGAGCATGAGATTGAAAGTGAAGAACATTTTAAGGCCATTGCTGAAAGAGAATTGGGAAGAGTGAAGGATGAAATCAGACGACTAGAAAATGAGATGGATTCAATACGGGAAAGGAAAAGTGATAAGGAAGTATGTGCTGAAATGTTGTTTAAATGTTGTGCTACTATACCTTCTCTCTGACCATGGAAGCATGATATGTTGCACATAGTAACTCTCCATAAATAATTAAGTGAATGGATAATGGGGTGAAATGTAATACTCATCATTATTTTACTCAAACAGCAGCTCCATGTCTTTTCACTGTCCAAAAGACAATGTACATAAATGCCAAGAAACTGATGAATGTCTTTCATATACAGAAAAAAGCTAACTGTTAAAAATCATGCCTGTTATAAAATACCAGGCATAGTTTACATGCAAGTGCCATGTTATTAACAGCACATCACTTTTAGTTTTGAATCCCATTAAAATTTTTTACCTTTCATATTAATTTGTCAGTTTTGTAATGCTAACTTTAACCAATTTCTCTCTGTTTTTCCTTATTTCTCAATTATTTGATTTGAGAGCTCTTTCCCAATTCAGATTATTCTCTTTACATATGCATAAACATATGGAAACACATAATATGTATATATACGTTCACATACACAAATATTTTATTATAATTTTATGATGTAATATTTATATATGCAATATAATTGCTTATATATCGTTTGTATTTGTTTATATGTTCTCTTGTCTTTTATGAGTATAGATTCATTAAATGACTACATTTATAGAAATATTTTTATCTCTTTTACTATATTTACTTCAGTCAAAAGTGCTCCCAAAATTCCTATATAGGAGACCTCTTAAGGGAAGCAAATGTGATTGGAAATGAGACTGAAGGAACTTGGTATGGGTTTTAGTTAACATCAAATACATTATTTTAACTAACATTATGTATATATATTGGGGGTGGCTTGTTGGAGTAGCTAATGACATCACTATGAAGGAGCTACCTAAAGTCTCTCTAACAGATCTCCAGCTCAACTATGGTTCTCAACTTTGTAAAATCAGCTCTTTTCTATTTTACAACTAGAATTAAAGTACAAGTATGATAGCTATATTGTTAAATATAGTATATCATTAACACCTGGAATGCATGGACAAGATTTCTTCTTAATATAGTCTGTTGTATATAATGTTATGTTTTATTTTAGTTTGCTTGGTAAATAATGTGTTACAATCACCCTTTCTCTCATGTTCCTTGGAAATTAGAATGGCATATTTAAAGCTACCCAAAAACTGGATGGTTTGAAATGTCAAATGAACTGGGACCAGCAAGCATTGGAAGCCTGGTTAGAAGAATCAGCTCATAAAGACAGTGATGCCCTTACTCTGCAGAAGTATGCTCAGCAAGATGACAATAAAATCAGGGTGAGCAGCTATAAATTGTAACTTAGTTTTTCTCTGAACATATAGTATATCAACTCTTTTTAACCTAAAATTGTACTTACTGATTTTTAAAGCAGCAGTTCTTAAACTTTTTTAGGTCAGGGACTCCTTTGAAAATCTGTTAAAGCCAAGTATCTTGTCTGTAGAAGAAAATGACTAGACACAAATCCCAATAAAATTTGGCCGAATCTGTTTTATAGGTCCACTGAAACCTTTTATTCTGTTAGCGGTCCATGGACCCCAGATTAAGAATATTCTGATTTATAAGGATTCTTTTTTCTGATTTTTTTATTGTTGTGTGGGTGGGGGTACATTGTAACATTTACAAAAGTTCTTAAAATATATCAAGTATATCATAGTTTTATTCACCCCTCCACCACTCTCCTTTACCTCCCCTAGAAGGATTCTTGAAAGCATTTCAGAAGAGTAAGTTTTATTTTTTTTTTCATTTTTCTTTTATTATTCATATGTGCATACAAGGCTTGGTTCATTTCTCCCCCCTGCCCCCACCCCCTCCCTTACCACCCACTCCGCCCCCTCCCGCTCCCCCCCCTCAATACCCAGCAGAAACTATTTTGCCCTTATCTCTAATTTTGTTGTAGAGAGAGTATAAGCAATAATAGGAAGGAACAAGGGGTTTTGCTGGTTGAGATAAGGATAGCTATACAGGGCATTGACTCACATTGATTTCCTGTGCGTGGGTGTTACCTTCTAGGTTAATTCTTTTTGATCTAACCTTTTCTCTAGTACCTGTTCCCCTTTTCCTATTGGCCTCAGTTGCTTTAAGGTATCTGCTTTAGTTTCTCTGCGTTAAGGGCAACAAATGCTAGCTAGTTTTTTAGGTGTCTTACCTATCCTCACCCCTCCCTTGTGTGCTCTCGCTTTTATCATGTGCTCATAGTCCAATCCCCTTGTTGTGTTTGCCCTTGATCTAATGTCCACATATGAGGGAGAACATACGATTTTTGGTTTTTTGAGCCAGGCTAACCTCACTCAGAATGATGTTCTCCAATTCCATCCATTTACCAGCGAATGATAACATTTCGTTCTTCTTCATGGCTGCATAAAATTCCATTGTGTATAGATACCACATTTTCTTATATATTTTTATATTTTTTTTCTTATATTTTGAAAATATAGTTTGAATATTATGTATAGTTTCTGCTAATTTGAGACTATAGTGGATTATTTGACATTTATTAGCATATATTAGTTGTAGAGGGGGGTTTCCACTGTGACATTTCCATATATGTTTACAATGTACCTTGGTTAGATTCATCCCCTCTATCATTCTCCCTTACCCTCTCTCCCCTACTTAAAATTATTTCAACAAGTTTCATTATTCTAGCTTTATACAAGTATATAAAGTACATTGACCTTATTCCCTCTCCTTTACACTCTCCAGGATTTGTTTTTCATTCCAGTCTTTCATTTGTCAAGTATATTCTTTGTTCAAAGGAGTTTCACCATGGTATTTCACCCATGAATATATTGTACTTTAGTCAGATTAACCCTCTATTACTCTCCCTTCTCCTTCTCCTCCGCCCCTATTAATCAGTGTGTTTTGTTATACCATCTTCCTATACAGGTAAAATGTATTTTGGTATTATTCATTCTCTTTTCCTCTCCTTCCTCTCCCTAGTTCTTTCAAACAGTCCCATGATTATAGACATGTTTTATATATATATACATATATATATGTATATATATATATGTATATATACACACACATTTGTATTTTTGTATATGTTTGTCTTTTGGATCTATCTTCCACATATGAGAGAAAACATGCCACCTTTGTCTTTCTGAACCTGGCTTACTTTGCTTAACATCATCTTCATTTCCATCCATTTACCTGCAAGCAACATAATTTCATTTTTTATGGTTGAATAAAATATATATTGCGTATATATACCACATTTTCTTAATCCATTGATCAGGCATCTGATCGTGTATGGAAACAGTTTCCATAGCTTGAGTATTGTGAATAGTGCTTCAGTGACCATGGGTATACAAGTGTCTGTATTGTATCCTGGCTTATATTCCTTTGGATATATGCCCACGAATGGTATCACTGATGGTAAGGTAGAGGAGACTATAGATATGATATTGATATGTTATCATAACCATCACTTAAAACCCACTTATAATTACATCTGGTGAAACTAATAAAAGTCATTTTAAAGACAACTGAGTTTTCATGAAACTTTTTGCAACCATTAGGTTAGTTTTTGGAGTTAAAAGACAAGAAAAATATATATTGTTTTATAGTTGTTTTAGATGTCAAATTAGTACTTACATAGAATGTAATATTTCATGTTACATAGCTACTACTAGTTTTTAAATTAAAGTAAAATGATAAATATAAATATTTTATATGTAACCACATCATAGGCTCTGACCCTGCAACTAGAAAGACTAACTTTGGAATGTAATCAGAGAAGAAAGATTCTTGACAATGAGCTCACAGAGACTCTAAGTGCACAGGTTGGTTTAATGTAGACTTTTATTCCTTAATTTTCAAGGTGATGTTTGCAGAAACACTTAAATTAACAGAAATGTTGTTTGCTCTCTATTTGACAGTTAGAATTGGATAAAGCAGCACAAGATTTTCGTAAGATTCATAATGAAAGACAAGAACTCATTAAACAGTGGGAGAACACAATAGAACAGATGCAGAAGAGGGATCAAGAGATAGATAACTGTGCCTTGGTAAAGTAGTTTGGTCCTTGTAATGTTCAGCTGTATTTATGTCTTCTGTATTTAGCTCATTATTTCAAGTGTAAATCATACTTATTTGAAGTGTTTTTTTTCCAGCAGGATTCAATAGTTTTGGTAATTGTTTTTTAAAGTGAGTCTGTATCCTTTTAGCATGTGACTTTGTGAAGATTATTTGCTTATGGTATTATAATTCCTGAAGACTGAATTGTGCCATCTCTGAATTATGGAACAAATATTACTGCAGTAAAACCAGTGCCCTGACTTATACATGGTTGCCCACAGTACCTTAAATTTAATATAAATATTATTTGACAGCAAGTTACAGATATAGAGAAGTGAAGCTTGGTAGATAACTAAGAGAAGGACAGAGAATCAGAAAAGAAATCTAGACTGTGAGACACTTTTTTTGAAGCTGGGGTACCAATGATGATATAGAGGCCCAGAAAAGGGTGGGGGTGCTGAACAGTGGAATAGTAATGCAGACCAATTGTTACCACTTGTTACTTTCTAAGGTAATTTAGGAGAACTTTTGGGGGGAAATTAAGAAATGAAATATAGATTAGGAGGGTATGGGAAGGAGAAGAAACTGAGGAGGAAAGAAAACAGGTGAGATGTGTTTATAAGTTCCTTTCTGGATCTACTCCATGAAAAGGCAAGCAGCAAAGGTGACTGGGAATTTAGAATTATGACAGTATTCTAGATGTGATTTGCTTATGATTCTAATATTTTAAATTTCTGAAAAAAACCACACTGTTATTGACAAGATGGGTTGTGCCACCCTTGAAGGAGAGAGCCAATTATTACTATTGGTCCTTAATTCTTAATGTTGATATTGGTATCTATTTCTTATTGTTCTGAAACATCAGGTCCTGATTGCTTCCTCTATGTGAATGAAATATGCCAAATTCAAGATAATAGATCCACAATCAGCATTCTCATATAACCTTATGATTAATTGACTCAGCTTATTGATATGGCAGAATGCACAACTAGTCTGGTCATAGTCATAGGGGTTCCTTTTTACAGGTTGATATCTCCTTACTGTCTGTGTTGTCAGAGACTAGGGAGGATGCTAAGAGGTGGCAGTGGGAGCTTCTAAGTTTGTAACAACTGCTCTCTGAGATCCAAACAAAATAGAACAACCCCCCATTTAAGTCGTTATGATTTCTGTGGTGTAACTACTTCCATACCAACATGACACCAGTGAACACGGGGCTGAGAAGAGATGTGCAAATCAGTTCTTAGGAGTCACTAAGAGCTGGTTCACAACACTAGTGTATTTAGACAGTGTAAGGAAAGTAAAATTTTTCTACCGTCCTAGGGTTTCTGGTTAGAACTGACATAAAGCATATTAACAGGGAAAAGCAGCTGAGTTTTATTTACATGTACAGGGAGCCCTCACAAGAAAAATGAAGACTCAAAGAAGTGGCTAGGTATAAGTGCTTATGTACATGGTTGAACAGAGTGGCAATGGTGGAAAGTAACTAGGAAAATAAGGGTTAGTTTAACAAGATTTCTTTTGGCCTCACTTCCCTGTCTCTGGTGATAAAAATATCTTTATTTCTCCTGGTACGGGGAGGGTACTTTTTACATAGGAGTTGTATCTTTTGCTTTCAGAGAAAAAAAAAGGTTAGCATGCACTTCTTGGTCTGCAGTTTTTCAAGTGCCTGTAACTCAAAGTGGTCAATATGCTGAAGGGGCATTTTTTTGGTCCTCTATACCTGAAAATGTACTCATTTGTCTCTCTTCCTCCAAAACAGTACCCATTCTCAGAGCCTTCTTGGCAGGAGTCTGGCGATACAATTCTGAAATAGTTTTAAGAAAAGGAAGAATATTTTTTCCACTGGGTTTTTATTATAGTGTATAGATGTTGGAATATTACTTTAAATGTCTTCTACATGAAAACTTAATCATTAATAGCACCTTTATGGATATTCTTTGGAGGCAGAAATCAGGAGGATCATGGTTCAAGGCCAGCCTAAGTAAAATGTTAGACCCCATCTCAAACAATAAGCCAGGTACACCTGTAACCCCAGCTATGCAGGAGGTTGTAAGTAGAAGGACTGAAGTTTGAGGTTTGCCTCTGACAAAACTCTTGACCCTACCTGAAGAAGAACTAAAAGTTAAAAAGAAAGGGGGGCAGATAGGGTCATGGCTCAAGTGGTAGAGCACCTGCCTAGCAAGTGAGGCCCTAAGTTCAAACCCCCTCAGTAATACCAAAAGAAGAAGAAGAAGAAAAAAGAATATTGAAGTAGGTATTAAAGCATCTGCCTAAGTGATAGAAAAATCAGTATAATGCAGAAAACTTGAGAATGCTTATTTGAAACATTTAAACATAGGAAGTTTTAATGTCTTTTGGTTGAATAAATACAATAACTATATAGCATGCTACAATTTCAGAATTATTATTATAGAAATACTACATTGTACCAATTTAAAACATCTTTTAAAATGCATTATATCTCAGCTATATATCCATTTAACATATTGTAAAAAACCTCATCTAATCCTTTTACTACCCATCTGTAAAATCTTTTCCACGTTGCTTAAAAATCAACCCTTTTAAACATGGCATTTGAATTTCTACACAATTTGGTACTAAGCCCCACCTTTAGCCTCATTCCTTTCATTTATAGTCCATCCCTGCTTAATATTCCTTTCCCATCTCTATCCTCCTATCGTACATTTAACTATACTATGTGCACCTCCATCCATTTCTTAGTTCTGACTCAAATGATACCTGTTGGCAATGTCTTCCAGACCCCTCTTAGGCAGAATTCATCACTTTGCTGTTTCTATAGAACTTTGTCCATATTTCAATACAGTGCTTGGTGTATTCCATTTATTATTGTATTTTTAAGAGCTGAGAAGACCTAAGTGAAGACATTCTTATTAAATCAATAACTAAAATGTTATTGTTTTTTTGAGACAGGATCTTGCTATATATCCCAGGCTGGCCTTGAAGCTCACAGTCCTGCCTTGGCCTCCCAAGTGCTGGGATTTACAGGCCTGTACCACCACACCCAATTAAAATGCAATTTTTAAAAGATGAAAAATGCTGGTTTGTAAAATATTTGGACAATTTCATTGAAACCCAAATTTTATGTGAAAAATATTCAACATTACCCTTCACATATAAAGGCCCAACTATTTTTTTCAGCACTATAGCAAAGTTCTAGATAGATGAAAGATAATATAGAGACCTTTAACAATATGAGTTTATAGATATTGGTATGTAGCATATTAATATTTTATTTTCGTTCATATAAAAGTCTCTTTAAAATGTTCTAAGAAGTTTTTGTTACATAAACACTGCACATAATAATGAAAAAATAAAAACTAAATTCCTTTTAGTGTTAGTTTTGTCATATTAAACAAATATTTAAGTGAACACATGTGTTTCAATCCTAGGCATTAGCAAGGATAAAGCAGGAAACAAGAGAAAAAGAAAGTTTGGCTAAAGAAAAGATCAAGTTTTTGGAAAATGAGATTGGAAATAACATGGAATATGAGAAAAGAATTTCTGATGCTGATCGTAAAGTTTTAAAATGTAGAGCAGAGTACCAGCGCCATGAAGATAGTAGAATTCAGCTGAAGGATGAGGTACGTCAACTGAAAAGACTGATTTATGTGTTCATGACAAATTATTATAATGATAACATAAAGCCTTTTTGATTAAGGAACTATCTTCTAGTTCTTTTTATTAAATCCCCTTTATTAAATGTTTAGGATACTCCCATTGGGCTCCTGAATGATGAGGCAACAGAAAGTACCATTTACATCTAAGGTTGTGTTTCCTTCAATGTGCAGAAGCCTTCTAATTTGATACAATCCCATTTGTCAATTCTTGCTCTTATTTCCTGAGCTATTGGAATCCTATTCAGAAAGTCTTTGCCTAATCCATATCTTGAATTGTTTTCTCTATCCTGTAGCAGTTTCAAAGTTTCAGATCATACATTAAGGTCTTTGATTTATTCTGAGTTGATTTTTGTATAGAGTAAAAGATAGAGATCTATTTTCAGTCTTCTACATGTAGATATCCAGTTTTCAGAGCACTGTGTGTGGAAAAGGCTGGTTTTTTTTGGTGCCTTTATTGAGAATCAGGTGTCTGTAGCTGTTCAGGTTTACTTCTTAGTCCTCTGTTCTGTTTCATTGGTCTACATGTCTGTTTTTGTGCTAGTATTGGGCTGTTTTTGTTACTGTGGCTGTGTAATATAATTCCAAATCAGGTGGTATGATACCTCCAGCTCTTTTTGCTCAGAATTGCTTTGGCTATTTAAGGTCTTTTAAATTTCCATACGAATTTAAGTATTTTTTTTTCTATTTCTGTGAAGAATGTCACTGGAATTTTGATAGGGATTGCACTGATGTGTAGATCACTTTTGGTAATTTAGCCATCTTCATGTTAATTCAGCCAATCCATACACATGGGAAGTTTTTCCATCTTGATTTTCTTCTTTAAAGTTTCATAATTTTCATCATAGAGGTCTTTTACCTCCTTGGTTAGGTTTATTCCTGGGTATTTTTTGAGACTATTGTGAACTGGATTGTTTTCTTGATTTCTTTCCTACTATGCTTATATTGATTTCTGTATGTCAATTTTGTATCATCTGAAAATAGAGATAATTTGATTTCTTCCATTCTTATCTGTATCCCTTTTATTTCTTTCTCTTGCCTTATTTATCTGGCTAAGACTTTAAGCACTAAAGATTTGGAGGCGTGGCTCAAGTGCCTATCTTGCAAGCATGAAACTTTGAATTCAAACCTAAGTACAGCCAAAAAAAAAAAAAAGAATTCAAGCACCATATTGAATAAGAGTGGAGAAAATGTCTACTCTTGTCTTGTTCCTGTCCCTGAGTTTAAAGGAAATGCTTCCAGTTTTTCCCCATTCAGTATAATATGGGGTAAAAATTCACGTATAGCTCTTGTTTTTATGTTGAGCTATGTTCCTCCCATTGCTGTTTTCTTCATGGCTTTTATCATAAAGCAATGCTGAATTTTGTTGAAGGCCTTTTCTACATGTAATCAAAATGATCATGAAATCATGTCCTTGCTTCTATTTATGTTCTGTATTAGATTATTGGTTTGTGTATGCTGAACCATCCTTGCATTCCTGGAATGAAACTAATTTGATCATGGTCTATAATCTTTCCAATGTTTTGTTGGATTCAGTGTATGGTATTTTATTGAGGATTTTTACATGTATGTACATGAAGGAAATGGTCTGTGGTTTTTATTTTGTTGTGTCTTACCTGATTTTGGTATCAGGGTAATACTGGCTTTATAAAACAAGTCTAAAATAGACTTCCTTTTTTATTTTATGGAATAAAATATGGTATTAGTTCTTTTAAGTGTTGATAGAATTCAGCAGTGAATGTGTCTGGTTTTGGGCTTTTCTGTGTTGGGAGACTTTTTTTTTTAAAAGCACTAGAGTTTGAACTCAGAGCCTCACACTTGCTAGGCAGGCACTCTTAGAGCTTGAGCCACTCCATTATCCCTAGGAGACTCTATTGTTGCTTTAATCTTATTGCTCATTATCAGATCTGAGTTAATCTTTTATATCCTCTTAGTTCAATTTTGTTAGGTCATATGTATCTGGGAATTTAGTTTTAGTTTCTTTTAGTTTTTTCTGTTTATTAGGATATAAGCTTTCAAAATATTCCCTAATGGTCTTCTGCATCAGTGGTATCTATTGTAATATCCCCCCTTTCATCTCTAGTTTTATGAATTTCATCTCTCTTTCTTTTGGTTAGTTTGGCTAAGGGTTGTCAATGTCATTTATCTTTTTAAAGAACCCACTCTTTGCTTCATTGCTTCTTTGTATTTTTTTAAGTCTCCATTTTATTAATTTCTGCCCTGATCTTATTATCTACTTCAAAGTACTAGTTTTGGGCAATCATAGTTATAAACTTCCCCCTTAGAACCACCTTTTCTATAGTCCAAAGGTAAGTCATGTTTTTGTTTACATTTGATTATAGGAAATTATAAGTTCTCTCCCAGATTTCAGCTGATCTTTGAACAGTGTATTGTTCAATTTGCATGTGTTTGTATAATTTCTATATTTTTCTTGGTATTTATTTCTAATTTTATTCCATTATGATATGATAAAGTGCAAGAAATTGTTTAAGTTTTTTTTTAGTATTTGTTACAACCTGCTTTGTGGCCTAAAATACGATCTAATTTGGAAAAAAGTTCCTTGGGCTGCTGAGAAAAGTGTTTTATTCTACAGCTCTTGGACAGAATATTTTGTTGATGTCTGTTAAATCTATTTGCTCCGTGGTACACTTTAACTCTGAAGTTTATTTATTGATTTTTTTGTGTAGATGATTTATTGTTGATTAGTGGAGTATTGAAGTCATCACCATTATCGTATCTGAACCTATTTGTCCTTTTATTCCAGTAATGTTTGTTCAATGAAATTGGGTATGCCAACATTTGGTGTATATATATTTATAATTGTGATATCTTCTTGCTGGATTGGTCCCATTATTAGTATATAGTTACTTTCTTTATCCCTTCTAACTAAATTTGGTTTGAAGTTTTCATTGTGCTATATGAGGATAGCTATGCCTGCTTGCTTTTGGATTCTGTTTGCTTTGAAAATATTTTTCCATCCTTTCACTTTCAGATTATATGTGTCTTTGCTAATGAGGTGTATTTCTTGCAGACAACAAACTCTTGGACTTTGTTTTTAATCCATTTCACCAGCCTGTGTCTTTTAATTGGAGAGTTATGACCATTTACATTTAGGGTTATTTCAAGAGAAGTATGTACTAACTTCTCCCTTTTCATCTTAGAGATTTGCTGTTTTAATAATGCTTCATTCTTTCCTTTCATAAATCCTTATGATTTATTCTTCTACAAACTCTCATGCTTGTGTATATCTTTCTTCCTCTTCTGTGTGTAGAATTCCTTTAAGTATCTTGCAGTGCTAGTTTAGTGATCATGAGTTTAGCTCTTGCTTATCATGGAAGATCTTTTTTCTCCTTTTATTTTAAAGGATATATTTGCTTTATATAGTAGTCTTGGTGTTGGCAGTTATTTTGTTTCAGGACTCGAAATACATCAATACATGCCCTCCTGGCCGTTAGGGTTTCTGCTGAAAGGTCTGCTGTTATTTTGATAGGTTTGCATTTGTAAGAAACTTGGCACTTCTCTCTTGCAACTTCAGTATTCTTTCTTTGTTCTGTACTCTTGGCATGTTAAGTATAATATGATATTTAGAGGTTCTTTTCTGGTCATGTATATTTAGTTTCCTAAATGTCTCATCTACTTGGATGTCCATTTCTTTCCCTAAATTTGAGAAAATTTCTGCTATAATTTCATTGAATAATTTTCTTATGCCTTTAGCATATCTTAAGTCCTTCTTCTATACTGCATGTTCATAGATTTGGTCTCTTAATCATTGTCTCAGTGGTCTTGGATGTTGTGGTTGTGATCTTTTATTTTTTTTCTTTATTAATACCTATGTGTAGTAATTCTCAACCTAATCTTCAATTCCTGATAGTTTTCTTTTGCCTCATCTTTTCTGTTGGTAATAATTTTAATTGAATTTTTTGTTTGATTTATTGAGTTTTTCATTTCCAAGATTTCCTCCTCCTTCCTTCCTGAATTTCTGTCTCTTTTTGCTGAACTTCTCATCTAAGTATTTGAATTTCTCATCCAAGTCTTGAATTTACTTCCTTAAATTATTTAACTGTTTGAATCCTTGCATTTCCCAGATGATTCATGATATTGAACTACTTTTTCATATACTTCTTGCCCATTTGATGTCTTCTTTGGAAAAATGACTATTCAGATGCTTTGTCTACTTTTAAATTGTGGTATTATTATTATTTCTATTAAACTCTCTGAGTTTCTTATGTATTTTGGAGATTAACTACTTATCAAATCATGGTCTGCAATTTTCCCCATTTTGCAAATTGTCTTTTCATTTTGCTGATTGTTTCTTTTGCTGTGGGGAAACTTTTTATTTTGGGTAGCCTCACTTACTAACTTTTGCTTTTGTTGACCATGTTTTTGATGTCAAATCTAAAAAATTTTTGACAAAGCAAATGTCAGTGAGCTTTTCTTCTAGGGATTTTATGGTGTCTTTTTTTACATTTAGGTCTTTAATTCATTTTGAATTGATTTTTGTGTCTGGTGCAAGAGAAAATTTCTGTATTATTATTTTGCATATGGGTATCCAGTTTTCCCAAATTCTTTGTGGAAGAGTCTGTTCTTTCCCTAGTGTGAATTCTTGGCACCTTCTGCAAAAATTAGTTGGCCCTATATACTTGGATTTACTTCTGGTCTGTTTATTCTGTTTCATTGGTGTATGTGTCTGTTTCTATGCCAACATCATATTATTTTGATTATTATAACTTTACAATACAGTTTGAAATCAGGAAGTGTGATTACCTTACCTTGGTTTTTATTAAGATTGATTTAGTGATTTGGGAACGTTTAAGATTGTTTTTTCTACTCCTGTGAAGAATGACATTAAACCTATATAGGTAGCTTTGGCTAGTAACATTTTAGTAGAATTATTTCTTCTAATTCATGAAACAGGACATCTTCCAATTTGTTTGTTTTCTTTATAATTTCTTTCATCAGTATTTAATAGTTTTCAGTATACAGACAGATCATCTCCTTGGTTAAATTTATTCCTAAATATTCTATTCTGTTTGTTGCTATTGTAATTGGGATTTTTAAAAATTCATTTTTAGATAGTTCATTTAGTGTCTAGAAATCAGCTGATTTTTATATTGATTTTCTGTCCTACAACTCTACTGAGTTAATTAGTTATAACTTTTTTTGGCAAAATCTGTAGGTTTTCACAAAGTTTTTTTCTTTAATTTTGTTGCTATTAACATTTGAATGCAAGGCTTCTTGCTTGCTAGGCAAGTGCTCTACCACATAGCCATGACCCCTGCCAGACCTAGGTTTTTGCAGATTTTTTTTTTTTTTTTTTTGGTGAGACGAGGGTTAGCGTTTAGGGCTCCACACTTGCAAAGTAGGCACTATACCACTTGAGCCACACCTCCAGTCCATTTTGTTCTGGTTATTTTGGAGATGGGATCTCATGAACTATTTGCCTGAGGTGACCTTAAACTGCTATCCTCTATATCTCAGCCTCTCTAGTAGCTAGGTGTAAACCACCATTGCCCAGTTCATAAAGTCTTAATGAAGGAAACAATTCATGTCTTAGAGTTTCTGTCTTAACAATTTAGATTAACAGTGCCATCAGGAGCATATTTGTAGGTAGGAGGATGATATGTTTAAATCTCCTGAGATTTTTCCAAATTCTACCAAGCTTGTTATGATTTTCATGAGCACATTATACATATGCATCAACTTTCCTTTACTATTTATTTATTTATTTATTGTTTTTGTGGTGCTGGGATTGATTGAGCTGAAGGTCTCCCGCTTGCTAGGCAAGTGCTCTACCACTCGAGTCACACCCTCACTACTCAATTTAGCTTGAATCTTGTGATGTGTTCTTCCTGAGCAGGTCTACTGATATTAGATACTTCCACATTTACTTTCAACACATAAACATAGATCTTGATTACTTGCTGTTTTTATAAAACAAAGCCACTTGAAATTTGATATGATAATCAGTAAGGAAATCTGTAAATATAAATTAATTACAAAAAGTTACTGTTTTTATGGATGTGATGCCCACTTAAAGTGGGCAGAATAGAACATCTCAGAAATGAATTTATAAGATAGAGTAAATATATGATTTTTGTCTGTTAACTGATAAATAGCTGGATTCTTTAAAAGCCACTGTGAATAGAACTTCCAGTGAGTTAGAAGCTCTGAGGAGAAATATTTCCAAAATCAAGAAGGACATTCATGAAGAAACAACAAGGTAAGAAAAAAGCTATTTAAATATTTTTTACTAGAAAAGTATTACATAAGAATATTTTTGGTTAAATAACTATAAAATTATAACTACTTACATTATTAAGCTTCAAAATTTCCAGGCTGCACACAGTGATTCAAGCCTGTAATCTTAGCTACTTAGGAGGCAGAGATCAGGAGGGTAATGGTTTGAAGCCAGCCCAGGCAAAAGTTAGCATGATTCCCATCTCAAACAATGGTTGGGCATGGTGGCATGCACCTGTCATCCCAGCTATGTAGAGAAGCACAAATAGGATTGTGGTCCAGGTTGGCTGTGTACAAATCAAGACCCTATATCAAAAATAATCAATGCAAAAAAGCTAGCGGAGTGGCTGAAGTGGTAGTGCACCTACCTAGCAAGTGCGAGGCCCTGAGTTCAAACCCCTGTACCCACAAAAAAAAAAAAAATCCTGTCTTTTTTATCATAAAGGCTTAAGAACAATATTTTTCATAGCTTATTAGATGTAAGTGGTAATAAAAAGGTCTATAGTAAATGAAACCTTCAAATTATATAAAGAAATTTTAAGATAAACTATGCTTTGTATTAAATGCTTTTAGGGCATGTTTTCTGTCTTTTCTTTATAAATCCTATTTAGGTTACAAAAAATGAAAAGTAACAATCAGATTGTAAACAAAAAATTAAAACACATAACTGAGAAAACCATGACTATAGAAGAGAAAGCTACCAATTTGGAAGATATGCTGAAGGAGGAGGAAAAAGGTGTAAAGGTAGAGTTTATTTTCAATGTTTAAAAACTCATAGCACACTTAACAATAGTAAGTAAATTAGTCTCTTTGGATGGGAGGACTAGGAGGTCTTGTAAGAGACTATACTATGGTTAGCATTTAACTTGATGTCTTCTTTTAAAGGCAGCCCTTCACTGTGCCCTGAAGTCTATTTCTTTCCAAAGTCTATAGCATTCACACCCCATGTCTTTTGGTATATTGCATACCAACCTTGAAAAATGCCCTTTTTAATAATAATTTCTACTTCATTATCACTTTATTATATTTGTTTGTGATCAAATTCCCCTGATGGTCCAAATTCACTATCAGTTACTGTTTCTTTAACCCCTTACAATCTGGCACCATTCTTTTGCAAATGGACTCCTAGAGGGTTGCACATGGAAAGAGGCCAACTAGAAGGAAGTATGAGTGGTGGGAAGGCCAATAGTGTGCTGATGTGCTGATGGTGGCCCCTACCACCTCACAAAAATCAATACTTTTGTATTGTGGCTGAAGTGGTAGAGTGCTTGCCTAGCAAGTATGAGGTCCTGAGTTCAAAGTACTACCACCAAAAAAAAAAAAAAAAAAGAAATGAGCCAGTAGTTAGTTAAATTTTCAAGAATTTTGTAGGTTGACTGCTAGATACAACTACTATTTAAAAAGTCAATTTATATATACTTACAGTTAAATTACATTCAACACAAAAGTAGTGAATACTCAGGACTCATTACTTCCAAATCACTTTACTATGATATGTACTCTTTTTTTTTTGCAGTACTGGGACTTGAACTCAGGGCCCTCACCTTGAACCACTCCACCAGCCCTATTTATGTGAAGAGTTTTTCAGCATAGGCTCTTGTGGCACTCTATGCCCAGGCTAGTTTTGAACTGCAATCCTCCTGATCTCTGCCTCCTGACTAGCTAGGATTACAGGTGTGAGCCACCGGCACCCGGCTATATGTACTCTGGAGGTTAAAATTACTTACATCTCTTATATCTGCATGGTGGAAATAGCACATAATGGTCTGCTTCGATGTATCTTTTCCCAACTCTGTATTTAGTGGAATCATGTTAGTAGCTTGAACTTGGCCATTGTAGTAGTGGAAGTCATATTCTCTCTGTAACACCCCCCCACCATTGACTGGAAAGCTGCTGGTTAAACATTTACCTGCTCAACAGTTGATAGTACCCAAAAGGGTGATGCCATTTCTTCCCCATTATACCCTCACAACTTCAGTAAACGTTGTGAACTTAAAACTGTGTATCTCCAGTGATTTAATTTCCTGAGTAACCAGTGGGGTGGCTTAGATCTATTGCTAGGGCAGTGTGATACAGGAATACTACTAACCTAGTCTACTAGCATAGATAATAAGAAATGTTGGGAATTTGTTGAAATTGTGGGAACTTTTTTTTTCAAGGGCTAAAATTGGTGGGAACATCTCAAGTTTGTTTATTTTTTGGTGGTACTGGGGTTTAAATTCAGGGCCTTATGCTTACTAGGCAGGCATTCTACTACTTGAGCCACTCCACCACTTTTTTTGTGTTGGGTATTTTTGTGATAGGGTCTCGTGAACTGTTTGCCCAGGGTTGCCTTCGAACCTCTATTCTCCTGATCTCTGCCTCCTGAGTAGCTAGGATTACGGGTGTGAGCCGCCAGTGCCCAGCTTCAAATTTGTTTATGAGCACCTGAATTATAATGTTCATATAAATAAAACATTTCAAGATATTATAATTTCATTAACCACTTTATTTCTTATTATCAGGAAGTGGAAGTTCAATTGAACATAGTGAAAGATGTGCTATTTAAGAAAGTTCAGGAGTTACAGACTGAGACAATGAAGGAAAAAGCTATTGTATCAGAAATCGAAGGAACCCGTTCCTCTCTGAAACATCTCAACCATCAATTACATAGACTGGATTTTGAAACCTTGAAGCAGCAAGAAATTATGTACAGTCAGGTAAATGTTACTCTTGTGAATATCTTCCATATTGATTTATTATAGTTGTGGTGATCAAGATACCCCAGAATAGAGCTGGGCATGGTGGTGTACACTATAATTCCAACACTTGGGAGACTGAGGCAGGAGGATCTTGACTTTGACGCTAGTATGAGCTACATAGTGATCTCACTATAGCCAAATGGCTATAGTGAGATCCGGCCTCAAACAACAACAAATCTTAAGATACCTCAGTATCTTAAGAAAACGAAGATTTCTGAGTAATCTTTTTGGAAGGGTAAACAGATGCTGACAGTTGGATATCATGTTAGGTCAGTAGAAGATTGAGGGAGCTTAATTTCCGCCCCTGCAATCTAAAATAAACAGGCAAGGGGAAAGACAATTCTAGTGAGGGAGGACCATGTTTTAAAAGTGCCTGGAGCAGCTAGACCTAGAGTAAAACAAAACTCATGGACTATCTGAAATCTAGAAACACTGGATGTTGATTCTTACTTGTGCAAACAGGTATCCCATGCCTCCCCCCATCCCAGGCCAATAGATTGAATACATTTTTTGATGTTTCTGTATTTTGCTTGACACACACGTTATTTATATTCATGTTAATTTCTTAACATCCTCTCTTCACATCTTAATTGTCTCATCTAATATATTCTTAGTTTCTCACATTACAGATGCAAAAGTGTAATTTTTAAAGCAATTCCTTACAGGTTTATCATATTTGAGCCTTTCATGGCATTTGTGACTGTCCTTTTTGCATCTTTTAGAAAATATACCATCAAAAGTCCATATCCATGTATATCCAGGGGATTTTCTGGGGCTCTATTATGGTAATATTTTACATATCCCTGAATGCATTATACTTTCAGATTATTTCTATGTCTTTCCCATGTACCCTGATTGAAGAATAGTTGGTTGTGGCTCCCTTAGAGTATGAAGGATTTTATCCTGAATTACTAAAGAACTAAAGTGACTTTAAATGATGATGTTCAGGCTAAACCCAAGAAAGTATTTACTGTTTGTATATTTAAAGAGATGCTTTTAATTTTTTGTATCCCGTTACTAACTTCTTTTTAAAAATCATTAACAGGATTTTTACATTCAACAAGTGGAACGAAGAATGTCATGGCTAAAGGGAGAGATTAATTCAGAAGAGAAACAAGCCCTTGAAGCAAAAATTGTTGAACTTAAGAAATCATTGGAAGAGAAAAAATCCACATTTGACCTTTTGGAAACACAGATCAAGAAGCTTCATGTAACTTAGCCAAAAACTTTTTTGTTTTCAATATCCTGGTTATTAGTTATTTTCTTTTAAGTCAATATGTTCCTAAGACTAATTTGGTCAGGATCATTGCCAAGCTGGCCACATAACTAACAAATATATGAAATGTTCCCATGGATTGAGCAGTGTTGTATTACATGCCTCTAGTATTTTATTTCACTTAACTCTTATAAATGTCTCATGAGGAACAAATTATTTATTATCTGTTTTTTCCAGGTTAAGTAACTTGTCCAATGTTATAGCTTGTACAAAAGAGGTAAAGGTTTGGCAGGTGATTCACTTGACTCTACAATACTCATAAAGAGTATACGATTTAGAACACTGATAACTTGATTATCCCTTACCTCTGAAATGCCATCTAAAAGAAGCTATTCCTTATGAGTTGTCTGTTAGTGTTACCCCGTTGCATTTCCAGTAAGGTGACAACATCCTTCATCTTTAGGAATTTTATTGTTTATTGTAATGTAAACTTACGTTAAAAAATTAATTGGAGAGTAAGCCAGGGAGTGAGAGTGTACATGCTAACAGGGTGAGAACTTGGCCTGGTTTAAATGTTATTTGCAGCTGGAAAGACTAGTGATGAGTTAGTTCCCTCTAGTGGTTATGTGTAGAATTGCCCCCAAATGCCTTTAGGGCTGCTCTTAAAAAAAAATAATAATAAGATTGAAAAAATTTGGTTTGGAGTAGTTTGTATTTTGCTGAAATATTTTTAAACTGTCACCTTGATTTACTAGAAAATAACACTAACTTTAGGATCAAATAAGACTTGTTCTGAATTTCAAGTTTATACTACTATGGCTATTCTAACTTTCCTGACCCTTAGCTTACTTGTTTGCTAAATAAAAAAGAAAATATTTAATGTTATTTTAGGTCACTTGGGGAAACTAGAAACAATGCATTTCTTATCACAGTGCTTTTAGTGAATAATACGTAGTATTGATTATTCACAATACTAGAATAGAGGCTCTTAGTACTAGAGAATGGGAGGAGGAGGATTTTTGTATATGAACATGTTTCTTGACCCTGGCCTTGATTTGTCTGTTTTGTTGTGTGGGGATGCTTACGGTTCTTTCCTCTTTTAACTATCCTTGTTGCTTCTCCATCATACACTTGCCTAGCGCTTATGACTATCCCAACTCTGGTTTTAACAGTTAAATTAAAAGAAAGGCAAGTGAATTTAAAAAATTGAAGCAAGTTAACCTAATGAGGATTTGTACTTCTCAATAGTAGCATCAGATTGTAAGGTCATCCTTTAAATCCTTTTCCATGCTACTCCATTTCTTATTTCACATAACAGAGACCAACTTCTTCAGGTTGAAAGTAACATTAAATTTTAATTCTTATTTTTTCAAATGTAGTTTTTGACATTATACTTTTATGCCAGTAATTTCTCTTTCCTTACTATCTGGCTGCAATCTTAAGTCCTGATACTTTAGAGAGAAGGAGGAGGGTGAACAAGAGGGAGGAGAGAGGGGGGAGTGGGGAAAAGGAGGTGGGGAGAGAGAAGAAAAGAAGAAGGAGGGAGAGGAGAAGGAGGAGGGGAGGGAAAGGAAGAAAAAAGGGAAGAGGAGAGGAAAAAAGGGAGGGGAGAGGGGGAGGGAGAGACTGAGAATGAATGAATGAAGGAATGAGAGTGAAAATGATTATGTTAAAACTAGAAAGTTTCAATTTAGGAACCAAGAAGGGACTATGAACACAAACCTTATTCTGGGTTCTGAGTAGGAAGAGGGATACAAACCAAACTAGAAAAGTGCCATCTGCTATGTGAGACCTACTCATGCATCTGATATAATTAGGGCTTATCAAATATTTCTCTCTTTAGCAATATGCAGTTATATAATAGCAGCTGGCATTTACATGGCACTTCTGTGTGTGAAGCACTGTTGGATGTTCTCTTTGAAAGTAACTTCCTTAATTCTCACAACTCAGGAGGTAGGAATTTCTCTCATCTCCACCATAGAGATGAGGAAACTGATGGAGAGTAGGTTGTCCACCAGAGTCAGGTGGCTAATATGTAAAAGGGGCATCTGATTTTAGAGTTTATACTGTTAACCAGAACACTGTGCTTTCTTAGACTGGTAATTTTTTCACCATTTGGGACTTGGATAAAATCAAACTAATGAGCAATGAGTGAACCCTGCAATGAACTGAAATGCATGCTCTCTTTTCCTCATAAGTGGCAAGCACTTCAAAATTCGGGAACCGTATATAATATTTGAACTGGAACCACACATCATATTTCCTAGAATTATTGAACTCAGACTAAATCTTAAACATCAATAGATGATAATGAAAATGTTTCTGTGTACTGTCCATGTATATTAGAGATATAACAGGATGAGATATCTGGTTATTAAAATATTTAGAGTATATAACTAATGTAAGATGTTTATTATAATATTACTTATATATATTTAAAACATTCTTTTATATACCATTTCATTTTTTTACAGAATGATCTTTACTTCATCAAGAAGTCAAATAGTAAAAAAATTCTGATGAAAAACAGTCTCTCATGACTAAAGTAAATGAACTAAACCTTTTCATTGACAGATCTGAGAAAGAACTTAATAAAGCCAAAACTTTTAAGCAGGTACAATAAATTATATTCATGTATAGTTTTTAAAGTCATATGTTTTCATGTTAATTGTAAAAAATTAAAATGCAGCAAATGACACAGAAGAAAATAATTCATTCTGATCACAATACACAAGATAGAATTTTAAGTTTTATTATTTCCTCCCAGTCTTTTCAAAAACTATGTATTATAATTATAGGCATTTTATATATTATACATGTTTCCTAAATATTAACTGCTCTTTAAAAGATAATTCTTGAAGACTGCCTACAAGTACATTGCATGAAGTTACCATAAGTTATTTAAGCATCATTTGTTTTTTTGGATATGCTTGTTTCCACTGTTTGGCTGTCATACAAAAGTGCTATTGTGTACTGTGCACATGCATCATTATGCAGTTGTTCAATTAGTTTCTTGGGATAAATTTGTAGATGTATAATTGTGGTTCAAAAATGAATATTTTTAGTGTCTTGAAACTGTTTTAAAGCCAAATTGTCCTCTTTAGAGTTCAACTAATTCCCTCACCAGAAGTATGCAAGCATTTTACCACTGAGACTGGATATTCTAATTTATAAAACACTTTCCAATTTGATAAATATGGCATCTTGATATTTCTGTTTTGTTTCATACATGCAGACATTTTTTTTTAGCAGTACTGGGGGTTGAATTCAGGACCTCACATTTACTAGGCAGGTGCTCTACCACTTGAGTCATTCTGCCAGCCCTGTTGATGTTGGTTGTTTTTGAGGTAGGGTCTTGCTTTATGTCATGGCTGGCCTGAATTTTGATACTCCCATTTGTGCTTTTCTGCACAGCTAGGATGACAGGAGCATGCCACTGAGCCTTGCCATTAGTTGAGATGGGGTCTTGCGAACTTTTTGACTGGCCTTGAACTGTGTTCCTTTTCATCTCTGCCTATCCAGTAGTCAGGATTACAGGCTCGAACCACCGTATGTGGCCCATACATGCATGTTTTAATTGGTGACATTTTAAGACTTTTTCTTTAAAGATAAAAATTTAAAACGTTTATGATTAAATAAAAATGTTATAAAGACTTTTCTATCATATTATATTCTATAACTTTTCTTTTTGGATATATAGTTTATAATCTTTGCCCATGTTTCCTTTGGGAGGTTTATATTTTCAATTGTTTTATAAAATACTTTCAAATGTAAAAATACTGTCTCTCATAAATATTATCAATCTCCTCCCTGTTCACCTTTAAATTTTTATTCAGTGTTTATGACCTGAAATGTTTCTTTAACATCAAATCTTTAGGGTTTTTCCTGTTTATAATTTTTCTGCTTGGAAGTTTTTATTAAAGAAATTGGACAAATGTTTGCTATTTGTAATAGTCATGCTGATTTAATCTCTTACACTATGTTTTTCATTCATATGGAATATATTTTTGTACATGTGAAATATAGGGATTCATTTTTTCTCTAACCAAAAGCTATATTTATGAAATAGTAAAAGCTTATATATTCAATTTGTTTACTCCTATGGCAGTACTCTACTCATGTCTGAATTGCCTTAAAATAAAAATGTATTTCTCCATTATTTTGTGAGACTTATTTTAGAGTTTAAATATGTTCATCTGTAAGATTTTATGTTTGCTGGACATTGTAAGTTCCAATTATCAAATAACTTCTTTTGTTTTTTAGTAAAGCTTGAATTTACCATTGAATTATTAAAAATCATGCTGAATAACCACAACTTTCCCTTTTTTATAAAGAAAAACTAGAATCACAACTTTGGGTAACTTAAATTTATTCTAGTTAATGCCTTAGTCAATAGTCAAATTAGAAAAAAAGGTCTATTTTCAAGTTTGACTTTTATAACAAGGAAAAATAAAAATATTTTGGTATAAAAAAAGCATTTCAATATTTGAAAATTTTGTTATGTTGATAGGATTTGATGATAGAGGACAATCTTTTAAAACTTGAGGTTAAACGTACTCGAGAAATGCTTCATAGTAAGGCAGAAGAAGTTCTTTCCTTGGAAAAAAGAAAACAGCAGTTGCGTGCAGTCATGGAGGAGCGAACGGAAGAAATTAAGGTGCACAAAACAATGCTAGGTGCACAAATAAGATGTGTTGATCAAGAACGGCAAAACATAAGGTAAAATGGGTTTAAAATGCTATTGAAGAATTTTGAAAAAAATGTCAGGGTGATGTCAGAAGAACTGTCTTCTACTTCTCCCACTTTGGATGTAAATCTTTTTCTTACTCACTTGAAAAAGCATTTAATTTTAATATAAGCTGCAGGGTATATTATAGCCATAAGTGTAGGTGATTCCTTCTCTCTTTTCTTTGACTAATTCTGCAATCTTTAGATTCTCCTTTTTACATTAGGGTCATTAATCTACTTGGAAGTGATTTTTCATGTATGATATCTTGTGAGGGTTCAGTGATGTGTTTTTCCTGATATGTAGCTGATAGTAGTACTTATTGAAGCAATTTTCCTGTAGAAGATTTGCCTATGTTTTATAAGATTATTCTTGGCCATGTGTTATTTTTGTTACTGGCAATGTTGTCTCCTCTTAAAACATTTCATTTTTGGTTTGTTGCTGAAGTATAGAGCACCGTATGTTAACTATTAAGCAACCTCACTAAATCTCAATTCTAGCAATTCTTCTGTGGATTCTAATTTTCTAGGTATTGCTAGGCATTTTTGAGCAATAATAATTTTGTTTCTTTCTTTCCAATCTTTATACTTTTTCTTTTTCTCCCTTTACTATACTTGCTAGGCCCTCCAGTCCAATACTGAATAATGGTGATCACAGTTACCTTTGTTTTATGCCTGAGCTCAAAAGGAAAGCTTTCATTGTTTTGTCACTAAATATAAGGGTTGCTCTGTTTTTACTTTTATTCACTGCCCTGGCCTGCATGGGTATGCTGCGTGAGCCTGACTAAGAGCGATGGGGAACGAGAAATAAAACACACACAAACATACAGACATACAACATAAAACAGAACACTGGTATCAGGAGGGCTGCATGTTCCTGGTGGGAAACATGAGCACCTACCTGAGCCAGAGTGTTTATTTTTATAGGTCAGAACAAGGAAAAGACTCAGGTAAAAATCAAGCTTTAACAATTCTTGATGCAAGGTGAAAGGAATGAGCTTTGGTGGGCTAATTTTCCTAATGCTATAGAAGCTTAATTACAGCACATCAGTTCTGGAATCATCAATGTATGCAGGACACCTTATCTAAGGTGTTGATTAATCTGGTAGCAGGGAGTCTCCTAACAGTTCTGGTACTTTATCTAGTTTTGCATCAGGGAGCTGGTATGTGAACACAGCATGTTGTGTTCTTCAAGGAGATGTGAAAACAAAGGTCAATACGCCAGGTACTGGGAAAAATATGGTAGAAGAGGCTGTGCAAACTTCTACCGTGGAGAGGCTGTGCAAACTCCCTTATTCTCAGTCCAGGGTCATGCCTGTTCCCCAACATCTCCCCCACTCTATTTCTTAAAAGCTCCTGATGCATTTCTATGTTTAATCTGAGGAGTCGCCTTTTGATCTTTCAAGTTCTGACTGAAAGTAAGCAAAAACAACAAATCATTAATAACACAATGCCAATGAAATACCAAAAGGAATATTTTAGAGTATTAAAAGGGTTAAATCCTTGTAATTCATCTAATATAGTTTTTGCTATATCTGCAGGAGCAGCACCTGATCGTGTGCTCAACTGCATGGCTAAAATTTGCTATTTTAAGGCTTGTAGGTTAAGGGACTTGCTTTAACAAGTTTCCATGGGAAGTCAGTGGCATTGTAGGTGCTGCAATAACACAAATATGTTGGAAGCCTGCATGGCACAGTAAATCTTGACAGAATTTTAGCATTTGAACTTCATCTCCCATAGCCAGCAAAGCAGCTTCTAGAGAATTTAAGCGGATATCAATTTTTTCATCTATAGCAACTTGTTGTTGAAAGGCATAACTGACATTTTGTGTTAAGGTATTAACGGAATGAGCATTTTGAATGCTTTGGGAGAGGGCTACTGCAGTGGTAGCCATGGTGGCAATAGCAGTGTGATGGCGGCCACAGTGCCTGCTATCAAGAGCCCTACAACTCTTTTTTCTGTTACTAATAATGATTTTATTTCTTTGACAACCTGTAGTCCTCTATCATGATACCATGGTCCCACGAAATTTGTAGGTACCAAGATATAGGGGCTTTGTTTTATTATAAGTAGGCTGCCACTTATGTAATTGTCCACACATGAGGTTAAATTATAATTAGAACAAGAGATCAAAACTAGTTCTATTTTTAGAGATGTTAATCGATCCAGCCAATAAAGCAAAACGATGTTGAACACAAGCTTGCAAGCCTTTAACAACAGAGCTGCCTGAATGGCTAGTTAGATTGATATTAGCAGTAGCAGCTCCGAGCTTCCATATACCTGACTGAATGGTTCCTCCATGTGGTCCCACCAGGGGTGGTCCAATACTCTATAATATTAGTGTCAGAAGTGCTATTATGAGACCAATACACAAGCTTGTAGCCTGCAACATTAACAGTCATTGGAGAAGCAAATACACATTGTTCCCATGAGGCTCCCTTATGGGGGCACCAAGGATTGCATTTGTCATGACAGCGGGGAATGTGAGGCCAATGTGTAGCATTATATGGCTCAGCGGCATTAAAGCCAAACAATTCTAGTTTTTTAATCAACAAACTGAGTACTATTCCATAACAGAGCACTTTTCCAAATAGGCATGAGAGGGAGACAGTAAGACAAATTCCCCAGACATATAGGTAAAGCAACAGCTTGTCCTGTAAAACTATAATTAGTGAAAGTAGGAGCCAGGTGTCCACTAGAGTGACCTCCTACCAGCTCAGAGTCATTAGTAAAAACTGATATAGAAGGACTTTTCCAGGTAACTGCATGAAGCCGAGGTGGATGAGGCACAATGTACTAAGTTTGGGCCTCTGCAGCATTTACCTGTTGACTAATGATGCTAATCATAGCCAGCAGAAGAACAGCAGGAGTTTCTTCCTGTCCCCATCCCTTAATGGCATTCTTGGCCATATCCACCAAGCATTTTATTTGACCCCAAGTTGGGGGAGTAGATCCCCTGGTTGTTTTACTGCGTTTGTCAAGGATGATGTTGCCTCTTGTAGGACCGGTAAGGGTGGTTCCTTATCACCTTCAGTGACAGGATCTCCATTAGTTTGGCTTTTGGCGGGCTTGGGCTCCTCTCCTCCCCCATCAGGTGGAGCTTCTGCATCTGATGTCTTCACAAACCGTGAGGGTACCCAAATTGGGCTTTTTTCACCTTCAGGAAAAACACAAGCATGGCCTTGGCCCCATAACAAGACTGGGCTAGGGCCTTGCCAGGCCCCAGTCCTTACATCTTTCCACAATACCTGTGGCAAATGTTGTTTATTATGATGTTCCCAATGTTTTTTAGCTGGAGTAAAGCCAGATTCAGAGCATTTTAAAAAATTTAAAGTAAAAAGAGCTTTGTTAATTTGAGTGGCCGGGGAGCTGTCTCCCCCTTCTTGTCTTTGTAATTGAACTTTTAAGTTTGGTGAGCTCATTTCACTATAGCTTGTGGATTGTAGGGTATGCCTCTGGTATGAAGAATTTTGTAGGAGGAACAAAAAGCCTTGAAGACAGTAGATGTATAGCCTGGACCATTATCAGTTTTAATATGGAGCAGCTTCCCCATCACCACAAAGGCGGCTAACCAGTGATCTATAACATGGTGTGTTGCTTTTTCTGATCTTGGAGAGGCAAAAACAAAACCAGAGTAAGTATCAATGACAACATGGACATAACTCTGTCGTCCAAAAGATGGAATGTGAGTAACATCCATCTGCCATAATGATAGAGGATGAAGACCATGAGGGTTAACTCTCTCACTGGGCAAAGGCAAATGAGGATCAGATTTTGAACATGACTTAACAATCTGACAAGCTTGTTCTCAGTGATATGAAAATGTTTACGAAGAGCTCTGGAGTTTTGGTGGAACTGAGAATGACTTTGTATGGCCTGGTTTACTGGTGATGAGTTATCCACCTGTAAAATTAATGGAGAAACTAAGGCATCTGCCTGGCAATTGCCCTCTGCCAACGGCCCAGGAAGTCCAGAGTGGGACCAGAGATGGCCCACAAAATAAGGATGTTGGTGTTGTTGTAATAAAGCCCTTAACTCCTGGAAGAGATGAAAAAGCTTTTCATCATTAGTAGGTCCTATATAAGCAGTTTGAATACTCTTAAGTACACCATAAACATATGCACTATCTGTATACAAATTAAAAGGAACATGAGCAAAATCCTGACAAACCAATATGATGGCCTGAAGCTCAGCATGCTGAGCAGTGGAAAACCCTGTTTGTATAACCTTTTGTCCTTGAGAGGAAAAGTAAGCAACATTTCCAGAACCTGAAGCATTAGTAAAAATCACAAGAGCCTGAGGTACAGGATCCTCTCAGATATTGTGAGGAAATATAAAAGCATGTTGAGAAGCAAAATTAAGAAGTTTAGAGGAAGGCAAATGTTCTCCAAGCTGTCCTGTAAAGTTTGCTAATGCATTTTGCCACATGGTATCAGTGCACCATAACCAAGCCTGTTGTTCCTTGGTAAATGGGACAATAATAAGGGATGGTTCTAGTCCTGGCAGTTGTACGGGGATAAAACGTCCCATGACTATTAACTTTGCTACCATGTTATATGGTAAGAAGTGATAATTCTAGCAGGGGGTGAGGTAAATGTAACCATTCTAGTACTCTCTGAGTCTGCCAAAGAACTCCTGTGAGTAGACTTGTAGTAGGTAAAATAAGAAGCTGCATTGGTTGAAAATAATCAACATGAGTTCTCTGAGAGTTATGAATGGCTTGTTCAACCTTAGCCAGGGCCACATGACCTTCTGGTGTGAGATATCTAGGAGATGATGGTTGAATGTCTCCCTGTAAAATTTTAAAGAGAGGAGATAGTTCATGGGTGGTAAGTTTTAAGGCATGATGTAACCAATTTATATCACCTAATAATTTTTGAAAATCATTTAAAGTTTTTAAATTATCTTTACAGATTTCTATTTTTTGGGGGTGGATAGTCCATATCTCCCAAATTTGAAAAGGGAGATTGCTTTTGTACCTTATCTGGAGCTAC